CTCCTCTTCCTCCTCCTCTCTCCTCCTCCTCCTCCTCCTCCTCCTCCTCCTCCTCCTCCTCCTTCTCCTCCTCCTCGTCCTCCTCCTCCTCCTTTGCCTTGTCCCCCTCCTCTTCTTCCTCCTCCTCCTCCTTCTCCTCCATTTCTTTTCATTATAAATAACTCCTCCCTGTCGCGCCCCTAGGCCAGTTTTTTTGGCGGGCCGGGCGTTTCGCCTGAGACGTCCTCACCATTCATGACCCTGAAGCTTGAACATTGGCAACAGTTTCACAGATGGAGGGCGGGTGGTTTTCAAGATGTGGCTCTCGCCTTAGCGCCGCGCATATTCGCTTTTTTAAATTTTGCCAGAGTTTCACGGATTGAGGGCGGGTGGTTTTCAAGATGTGGCTCGCCTCAGCGCCGCGCACATTCGTTTAAAACAATTGCAAGAGTTTCACGGACTGAGGGCGGGTGGTTTTCAACATGTGGTTCTCGCCTTAGCGCCGCACACATTCGTTTTGAACACTTGCAAGAGTTTCACGGGTTGAGGGCGGGTGGTTTTTAAATGTGGCTCTTGCCTTCGCGCCGCGCACATTCGTTAAACAAACATTGCAAGAGTTTCACGAATTGAGGGCGGGTGGTTTTCAACATGTGACTCTCGTTTTAGCACCGCGCACATCCTTGATTCAACATTGCAAGATTTTCATTGGTTCCCATGATCGGCGTACCAGAAATGGCGTTCTGGAAAGATTCACGATTTTGAGGGCGCAGCAGTTAGGTTGATTCGCGGCGTTGAAGTCTCAGGAATGATGTTCTGGCGTGGTTCTGGATCGTCAAGACGCAGCAGTCAGGTTGATCCGTGGCGCAGGAATCCCGGGAACAATGTTTTGGCATGCTTCAGGATCTTCAAACGGTTGTCTTCCAACGAGGCAGTTCCCTCAGTGGAAATGAACTTTGTAGGGGCCTTTGAAGAGGGAGCTTGGAGGAAGGGTTTATTCCGACATCGTTGATGGCTCTTGGGTTTACACTGGTCCTCCTCCTCCTCCTCCTCCTCCTCCTCCTCTCCTCCTCCCCCTCCCCCTCCCCCTCCCCCTCCTCCTCCTCCTCCTCCTCCTCCTCCTCCGCCTCCGGGAGAGTCGATGGTCGCCACCTAGGGAGGGCTCGAGGCGGCGGCTCGAGGATCGAGGGCCCGCGGTTTTCGGACCTCGCCTGCGCCCCGCAGCTGCGCCTCGGCGAGGGCGCTCCGGGGGCGCCAACATCGTCCTGGGCGGCCGCCAGAGGCCCCAGTTCTGGTCCGGAGCTGGGCCTAAGCGCTGTTCTGCTGGACTTCGGCGGTGTTTTGTTTTTCGCTCTGGCAGGGAGGTTCAGGCAAACGGGTACTTGTATCGAAACGAAAAACGAAACGAAGACACATGAGTACGCCGACGTGCAGACCCCGCATGAAAATCCTTTCGGCTAATTTGGAAACAGCCTTGTTTGTCGTCATCGCGTTTAGTGAGGCGCCCTCATTGTCTGCTCTGCGTCATTCTCATTATGGCCCTGGCGCAGGGCCCTCACCCGCGCCCCGCGTTGCCATTGCCTCGCTTTCCTGCTGTTTGTTTCGTCACCCACCACTTCTCCTGTCTATTGCAAGAGCGCGCGCGCCGATTTTCCTCGACGCCGTCGCCGCCTCGGCCAGCACGGGCGCATTCTCGAACGGCCGCGTTCGCAGCCGCAGTTAAGCCTCTACGAAGGCCCCAGGATACCCGAAGATAGTGTCCTCCTCCTCATACTCCTCCCTCCTCCTCCCTCCTCCCCGCTCGTCGTGCATCGTCTTCCGTCTATCCTCCATCGTCCTCTCTCTCCCTCCTCCCGCCTCTTCCTCCTCGTCCGTCCTCGGTTCATCGACCGACATGCTCCGTGCTCCGTGCACCGTCCCCCGTCCACCGAATTCCGTCCTCCGTCCTCAGTGCTCGGTCCTTCTCGTCCTCCTCCTCATCCTCTTCCTCTTCCTCTTCATGTTCCTCGTATTCGTCCTCGTCGTCCTCCTCCTGCTCTTCCTCGTCCTCCTCTTCTTCCTCCTTCTTCTCCCCGTGTTTCCTCGACAATTTGGTCCCTTGGAGCATCTTCTCGCCAGCTCCTCCACCGCTTCCTCCGCCGCTCCTGGCCCCGCAGGGAATATCGGAGGTTTCAATTTCGGAAGTCGAAACTCGACGTGAACATGTCCCCGCAAAGTTTGCGATATCCAATCACATCGAATCCACATACCCTTCCTGGAGTCCATCCCGTACCGATTTTCGATGGTCCCAGGACCCGCAAACGGCCTCCAGAAGCCTCATATTCAAAACAAAGAACGTATCGAACCCGAGAGCTCGAAACTCGATGTTCATACCTCGACGTAACCCTTTTGGACCCGGCGAGGCCGCAAAACGGGAAAAGGCAACGCGAGGAGTGAGAAACGCCCCCCAGGGCCGGAAACAGGACGCGGCACCTCGAGCCGAAAAGAAGCCGAACAACAAATAGGCGTTCGTGGTCCCTTACCCTCGAGAACGCAAAACACTTTTTGTGGAGGGAGTGGCTTCGGGCGCGGACGGGTTATCACTCCCACGCCCCGGACGCAAGGGCTTTTCCCTGCGCCCGATTCGGCCGAGGATGGGCTACCACCCGTAGCCCGGACGCAGGGGGGTCCCCCTGCGCCCGATTCGGCTGACGATGGTTTACCACCGCCAGCCAAGGGTCCCCCCCTGCGCCCGATTCGGCTGACGATGGGTTACCACGGCCGGCCCGGAGACAACGGTTCCCCCCTGCCCCCGATGCGGCCAAGGATGGGTTACCACCCCCAGCCCGGACACAAAGTTTCCCCCTGCGTCCAATTCGGCTGACGATGGGTTGCCACCGCCAGCCCGGAGACAAGGGTTCCCCCCTGCCCCCGATCCGGCTGACGATGGGTTACCACCGCGAGCCCAGAGACAAGGGTCCCCCCCTGCCCTCGATTCGGCCGAAGATGGGTTACCACTCCCGGCCCGGACGCAAGGGTTCCCCTCTGCGCCCGGCCGCCGTCGTCGTCCTCACCTCCTGTTCCTCCTCTTCCTCCTCACCTGATGGGTCGGGCGAGTCGCCTTTCGAAGGGCGCAAAAGGAGGGGGCTCCGGCTTGAGACTTTCTCACAGTTCACTCACACACGAGGCTCCCGCCTGATATTTCCCCATATTCAGGCCTCAGGAACCCAAAAGTGGCGTCAGTCACAGGTTCGAGGATGACCCGCTGGGATTAGAAACATGAGCTGCGGGCCCCATATGGAGGGGGCTCCCGCCTGAGACTTCCTCACAGTTCACTCACAGGCGACGCCCCCGCCTGATAATTCCCGCGTATTCAAGTCACAGGAACCCAGAAGTGACGACAGTCACAGGATCGAGGATTACCCGCTCGGATTAAAAACATGAGCTGCAGGCCCCATAGGGGGAAGGCTCTCACTTGACACCTCCTCACAAGTCACTCACAGACGAGCCTTCCGCCTGATGCTTCCCCATATTCAGGCTTCAGGAGCCCAAAAGTGACGACAGTTACAGGTTCGAGGATGACCCGTTAGGGTAAAAAGCGTGAGGCGCGGGCCCCATAGGGGAAGGGCTTCCGCTTGAGGTTCCTCGCAATTCACTCACAGACGAGCCTTCCGCCTGATACTTCCCCTATAACCTCGGGAAGCCTTTAAGACCCCCCCCCCATCATCAGGTGAAAATATAACGCATCCGGCACCCAGGAAGCGTTACCTCGGCACCGGAGGAGCCCGCAAAGAGCACTCGGGGCCAAGGTAAGCTTTGCTGAGCCCTGCTAGCTCCCGCTAAGCCCTGGTAAGCAATGATAAGCCAGGCTCGCCCCCTGCTGAGCCCTGCTGCGCCCCGCTACGCTCATGCCGAGACTTGCTAGCCCCTGCTGAGCGCCGCTGAACGCTGCTAAGACTTGC